TGGTATAAACTTGAATTGATAGCAGCAATGTCCTTTTGGGTTGCCTTCAACCCTGGCAATGGAATAGGATGATTGTTAGAGAAAGAAGAATGATTTATTAATTTATTACTTGGTTGATAAATTAATTTAAAATCAAAATAAATGATTTAATTAATGTATTATGTGAATAATATATTAATTAGTAATCATATAGTTTAATTAATATTTAATCAGAAATTAACTTGGAGTTAATTTTGGGATTAAAGGAATTAATTTAAACTGCAGGGACTAAAGGTGACAATGTTCAGTAGTTGAGCATTGAGCATTCTAGAACCTCCCTTAAAGGAGGGGGGATGAAATCTAGATGCTCCTAGGGTTTCCTTGGGCTCTAAGGGTGCCTTGGAAGCCTTAGGGAGGAAGTTAAAGGATTAGGGTTATCTAAGATACACCTGCCTTATCCTAAACCTTCCTTATCACCTATATAAACCCTTATAGGGTTGGATTTCATCCCATGTATTCCAAAATAAGGCTTAGAGCTGAATTTTCCACTTCCCTTCTCTCTCTCCATAGTAATTCTTGGTTGCTATGTTTGTTTGTGAACCATTAGAGGCGCGACACTTGTGGCGCTTGCTACCAAAGGTTTTTCAAGCAAGGTTTTTAGATTGTTATTACAATATAACAATCAAGGTATGTATTTTGGTCCCTATTGTGTGAATTTGATTATAATACATAGAACCTAGGGTTTCTTCTTTTGTGTTCAAGTTCATGTTCAATTATAGAAAACCTATATCCAATTCAATTACGGTTGCATGCACACATAGGATTGTATGTTTTGCTCAAAACCCATCAATTATGGATAAAGTTGGAAACTTTATCCATCTAGACATCTTGTTGATTCAGATCTGAAAGTGGGAGACTTGGACTTAATGTATTAAGTTGACAAAGATGTATTTTTGGGTCCCTTTAAGACTTAAAGTCTAGATCTTGGTGGTTTGGACCGTCTTAATGGATAAAGTTGGAAACTTTATCCATTATGAAGTGATTAGGAATCAGATCTGATGTTTTAGCTTTGGTCCTTATGAATTAAGCTCTTTTTGAAGAAAAGGCTTTCAGACTGAGGACCACGACATGGCCAAGGAAGGACACTGCGCGGCGGGGAGACTTATTGTGTTTGTTTTGTTTGGACGTGCCCACGGCGTGGTGGTTTGATCGGGACTGGATTAAGTGTATGTGGTGTGGCCATGGGTTGGCCACGATGTAGGTGTCAACTGGATTGACTTTGACTGTTGACTTTTTGACCAGTTGACTTTTGGTCAACCTTGGGTAGCATGGAGTATTTGACTAAGGTCTGGTATTGGTTTGGCTTCAGGAAGCTTGGGTTGGCTGATCTGTTATTGAGGCAGCTGTGAGCTTCTATTGAGTAGTTTAGGTGAGTCTTCTCACAGTACTTGCAGGTCGAAGGCACCCATGTCGGCCTATTGAATTATGTTATAGTATGCTAGCTGTCTTTGTGACTCTTGCATGTATTATATGTGTTTGTATGTATACCGGGCGGGGCCCATTGTTCCGGGAGGGGCTTGACGGTGGGTGGCGCCCATTGTATGTATGGTATGTGGTATTTTGGGGAACTCACTAAGTTTTGTGCTTACGGTTTTATGTTTATGGTTTCCAAGTACTTTCGGTACGAAAGGGAAGGGTTCAGCGTGACTGCACCGCATCCACCATAGTTTTCCGCATTGGCAATTTTCAATATTTACTCTGATGTTTAAATAGTATATTCACTTTATTCGGTTTTGGAACAACTCATTTGCATGGTTTATTGTTTTAAAAATGAAAATTTTACTATGAATTTTTGGGACATTACAGGCAGCTTCGAAAATATGTCGATTTGTTCCTTTTGGCGATACAGTTTTTATTGAGGGGTGTGTAGACATGATGTATAATATTTAAGTCCATGATGACAAAGCTAATCTTTGAACTAATGGTTGACATATTCTCCGCCATTATCAGATATAAGAATTTGAAGTTTAGCCAAGAACTGAGTCTAGACCATAGTGTGAAAGGATCACTTTAAACACTTCATCTTTATGTTTGAGTAAGTACAGCCAAGTCATGCGAGTACAATCATCAACACAAATCACACACCAACGAATACTATAAATAGTAGTCACACGAGAAGTGGCCCATACATCTGAGTGCATGTGTGACAATTGAAATTAGAGTTTTGCAAATTTAAAAACATATAAGGAAACAAATTTTTCATGCAACCAAAGGAAGGGTGTTCCAACTGATGATGCAAGAGCTAAATCTTTTGCTCTTTAACATTAACCCGGTGGTGTATGTGATATGCTTATCCCTTGCTAAAATCATCCATGTAGTATAGTATGCCCCTCCTAGTATCACGCACAATGATATCCTTGGTGAGAATGTCCTGGAGAAGGAAGAAAGTATGGTAGATAATAGCGACAAAATTTAGATCTGTTGAAACTTGACTAATAGATAACAATTTATGAGAAAGTGACGGAACAAGAAAGGTATTTGTAGAGAGAAAGTGGGTGAAAAAATCACAGTCTCAACTCCTGTGACAAGCGGATACGATTTCATTAATGTTTGCAATACTACTACGCTTTGGTGGTATTGTTTTAGAAAAGTCAGTTGCATTATATATCATATGATCGGTGACCACTGAGTCAAGTATCCAAGCATTATTATCATCTTCTTGAAGGGAATTAGAATATCATTATGATGGTTACATGAATCTGAAAAGCATGTTGTTCCTTGTGATGGCTTGACCGGTGGAGTAAATGAAAGATAAGGTTCTATTGTAACCACTGCAACCTTACCATCAATTCTTGGGTTGTCACGTCGTGCTCATTCCATCATTCAGGATAGCCATGTAGTTTGAAGCAACTTTCACAAGTGTGTTTTGGATTACCACAATGAGAACATTTAGATCCATCAAATGTGGTTCGTGACTTTGTGTAGATGGATTTTACATTAGCCAGGAGAAAGAGCCGGAAGATGAAGACGATTACGCTGATCTAATGCCTTTGGAGGATAACACAACTCATAAAGTATCATTCCCTTTGTCGGAGGTCATAACAGTTTGTCGAATAGCTTCTCAACAAACTTATGCATATGCTTGTTCAGCCGAGAGAAACGGACGTGTCTGTAAAACATCCCCTCGAATTTTATCGAGACGGTCATCCACACCATCGAATATATATATATATATATATATATATATATATATATATATATATATATATAGAGAGAGAGAGAGAGAGAGAGAGAGAGAGAGACCCTATCTTCTTGAAACAGATTGTTGTAGTGTTTAATATCAATGGCACATTCCATCAAATTTGGACGATGAAAGTCGATTTCACGCCACAAACCTTGAAGGTCGTTCAATTATTTTTCTAAGGAACCGTCGACTTGTCGAAGGCACATCACACGTCGTCGAAGGTTGTATGCTTGGGAGATGTCACTTTCGTCAAAGTAAGTAATGGTAATGGAATCGCACACCGTCTTGGTTGTTGGAAAACGAATAAAATTGCTGATGAGTGACATATCTGTGGAGTTAATTAACCACCCTTTAACAATGGCATTATATGTTCTCTATCTGCGAATGTTTGAATATGATGGAGGGAGGTCGCAATTGATATGACCCAACTTGTATTTGGCAGAGATGTACATCTCGACAACTGGAGACCACAATACATAGTTGGTATCATTCAACTTTATGCCAATCCGGGCAGTAAAAGTATCTATAGTTGGGGTATGAACATGTTTGTTCAGAACCTCGGTCATCCAGTAGCGCTATCTCGTTGATGGTAGAGTCGTAATGAGATCCACTATGGCCATCTTCTGAGTTATCGGTCTCCACCATAGTGTTGAAAAGAAAGGGTCAAGAAAATAGAGAAATTAGGGATCATGGCTCTGATACCATGTCAATTTTGGAGAAACCCTATATTCTATTACTTCTCACAAAATAGAGTATACACATATATGCACATAGACATATTCTATCTTTGGCTATACAGGAAAAATTAACCCTTTGATTACGGGATTTACATCTTTAATGCAAAGATTTATTCCTAAGATTTATACAATTGATAGCTCACACCAACACAAGATGCGTAGCGATCATCGATTTGATCGTTACGCATCCTAGGTTGAACTTTTCCAGAAAAAGGAATGTTGGCTCCTAACAAGAATAACAAGCCAACAATAACTACTTTCACTATTCATTCGCCATAACCAACATAAAATACTCGGTGCAGTGTCGATAACCCTTTATCAAATTGATGATCGTTTCGCATCATGGATTGAACTTTTCCAGATCATTACATGCGCCTACAATGTTCTTAACCACATCGATGAAGCCACGTCTCAATCAATGAAGCCACGTAGGAGAGAATTAATGCAATCATCAAGCAATGGGTTTTCAGTCTCTAGATTTACTCCAAACCATTGTAAAGTTGGGAGCAGTTGCCATTTAATTGTGGAAACAAATGCAATAAATCTTCCAAGATAACAAAGATATAAGGGTTTCTTTAGAGAAAAAAAAAATTTTGAGGTTTAATCTAAAAAAAATGTAATAGCCAAATCAAAAATAAAAATGAAAATTGTAAGGGCTAAATAAAAAAAATGAGACATGTAGGGGCCAAATTGGAATAAATGAAAAAACTAAAGTTGAGTTTTAACCCAAAAAAACTCAATATATAGAGTTTTTAATACAACTAACCCTACAAAATCCCAATATTATGATACCATACATAAATCTATATGGACATATTTTCATATCTATTATCTAGATTACACTGATTAGAAGATCTCAAAAGTTGACATTACAAAAGATAAAAAAGATTTTGGAATCACCACATATATATATACTAAAAATCTATAAGAACCCAATTTCAGAAAAGATCTATAGAATGAACATCAACAGTTGTGTAACAACCAAACCAATTCTCTATCAATGAAGTTTCAAACATTTTATGTTCATTGATGGAACGATCAAAGGAAAAGCCCAAAATAGTCCACCCGAATGCAAGAGAAAAAAGAAGAAAGAAAAACATTTAAAAACACAATAAGGTTGAGGATTAGGGCATTTACATCTTTTTTCACATATGAGGGTCCACGTCCATGTTAAATATAAGGCCGTTCTGTCATGTATCCCGTGAAACTTGGTTAGGAATACCTCTCATTCTTTCCATTGGTATGGAGCACGATCAACAACCAAGTAGTCTCCGCGTATATCTTTAGCAACTCGAATATCATCATCCAAGTAGACCGAATCAAACCTAATCCCATGATAGAAGAATCATACAGATCTTATTAACTTACCAAAAGGAACAGGTATGCTTTGACTCGAGAAGTCAAACATGCTAGGATATTAATTAAAATTGAAATGTATAACAGACGGGTGTAAGTGTGTAACAAGATGTAAGATAACATGAATCAAGAAAGCATAACACTCACCATCCTTGACCAAATGGTGGCAGTGGAAACTCCCACTCTTTCCCACGTAAAACCGCGCTTGTAAACCTACAACAATGACCCCAAATCAAAATGAACACAATTTGAATGTCAAACATTTTTCCATTTGTAGTATTCTGATGGTTATGAACATATATTCAATGATGAAAGTTATCTCAAAAGTTATAAGGAACACTACTATTGGAACTAAAAATGATGCTAAGTTAAGGTAGAATTCATCCGCTGATATACCAGTGGAAAATGAATCAAGTATACCTAAAATTGACACGCTGAGATGAAGCAATTTCCATATCGGATCGAACAAAGAAGACACCATCGGGAGGGAAAGTAATGACATTGTTGAGCTTGCGTTTCTCCACATCGATCACTTGCAAAACGTCTCCGGCTTTCGTCCCGAAAAAGCCCGCGTTCTTGATAATAAACAGCTGTTCTTTCTCGGTGGTCCAAAGCAAGCGCCAGGTACCAGAGAGTGAGTTGTTGGTGGTGATCTGGTCAGGGTTGATTAAGGCGATAGAGTCGATGGCGTCAGTGATCTGCGCCAGCTTTTGGGGATCGGATTGGGTGGCGATGCCTCTGTTTTGGTCGGATATTAGATGAAGGAGGTGGGATTTGGCGGAGGTGAGAGATTGTGATGTGAGTGAGGAGCGGGTGGTTAGGGTTCGGTAGGTTTTGGGGGGACTGAAAGGGGTGAAGATGTTGGAAATGGCGGGAAGGGATGATGTTGTGGCCATGCCCATTAGACCGGAGGGAAGGAGATGATAATTGTATGGTGGTTGGGAATTGGGACCGATTGTTTTGAGGGAGGAATTTGTAAATTAATTGTGAGGAAAAATTATATTTCAAGCTTTTGATTTTCTTTAATTGAATCGATATATAAATTATCTATTTATATTTTTGTTACAAATACTTTTTGTTAAAGCGTTTTTTCTTTTATTTTTTCTTTCATCATGTATTTGAGTTAGTGTAATAAGACTTTTTACATATATATGAATCGTTTGATGAATGTAGACCATTCACGAAAATTTGTACCAATGAAGACTATTATTAAAGAGTACGTGTGTTTCATAAGGTTAGGCGGTATGGGGAAGAAACTCACGCGTGATGGCCTATGTGGCATGGCTACCCACGTGTGAACACCGCTCCACTAGTGTGTGGGTGGCTTGTGACGTGATATCGGGGACGCGCGAAGACAACCAATCAGAAGGAGGGGAAACCGTAACATATTGGGCAAATTAAATTATAGCCCATCGAGTTTTTGGTTTTTGTTTTAAATGGTCCATAAAGTATTTTTTTTTGGTTTTATGGGGGCATAAAGTGGGTTATGACATGCTATTTTAATCACTCTAACCTTTAACAACAGGTTACCCTCTTCCTAACCAAAAAAAAAAGTGTTCATCAAAGGGTTTGAAGCTCGGTATTATCCCTCTCCCATCAACCACCACAACCGTTACCATCTTCATCCTCCACAAATGCCACATCGTGCACCACTGTGAAAAACCTAAAACAACCCCACCATATCAACGCCAGGAAAAATTGATCGCATACTCCTTCTTTCTCTTTCCCTATAATCGCATCGAAAGATGACGAGGTTCACCTCCTTCCCTTCAATCGAGTTGTAGGTTTCAACTTCTTTCTCTCTACCTCTCCGGTCAATCCAAAAAGATGAGATTCCCCTTATTATGTTGCTTATCGATCACTCCCTAAACCCTCTAAAAAAAATTGAAGCACAACCACAGGGATTATAACAGGATAAAAACAGGCCACAAGATGTATTTTCTTTTTCGTTCTCCGGTACGAAAGTATAGAAAAAAAATCAAAGAATAGGTTAACGGGGTGATGATGGTGGTGGAATGGAGATGGTGATCTATGGTGTTGGTTCGGTGATAAAGAAGGTGTGTGAATGGTGACTGGGATGGTGTTTGTGTGGGTGATGTTTGATGGTTATGTTGATGAAGTGGGTACTTTTTGATGGATTATGAAGGATGTGAAGGGGTTGTGAGCTGGTGAAGGGTTGGCTGTGAAGAATATGGTGGTGATGTTGGGTTATAAAGATTCTTACGGCGGTGCAACTTATGGTGGATATGGTTGGGTAAGTTGTTAATGATGGAGTCATGGAGATAATGGCCGATGAAGAAACATGAGTTTAAGCTCACTCTCATCAATTTACGTTCAATATCTTAAAAGAAAATCGAGAGTCAATTAAGATGAATGATGAACGTGATCATGGTAATTGTTGTAGTGGTTTTTGACTTTTTTGTTTTTTTTTTTTTTTTGGACTTTTGTTCATCCAATTTTATAAGAGGTAATCAGTTTACCCCTTCAATTTGAACAGACAAAATCCATTTTATGTCCCCAAAAAGCACTCAAATAAATTTAGGGACTAAATCGACCAACTTTTGAAACATTGTAGGGCTTTTGTATCACTTCCCCTAACATATTTGACCATTGTTGTTGTATACGTTGGAAATAAAAAAAAATATTCAACTTTCAAAATTAAACTTATGTCTTTTACCTATATGCACAAAAGTGGAAGCAACGATTTTAATATTCTTACAACCGCATTATACCAATACAAGGTTACCAACAATGGTAAATCATTCGGCCACTAAAAAACGTGAGATATTTATCGTAACGGTCCAAAATGTGTCCTTAATCCGGAGACGTCGCATTCAGAATCGACCACCGGAAAAGGTCGAGAACTTCCGAGTCGGACGTGGGTTGTGGTCTCGATCTCAATGATGATTTCGACAACACCGAAGGAGAAGGTCAACCGGGAAGGGACAAAGTGAAACTGGCGGCGTCTTCATTCGGAAAAACAAGTGGTGAAGACATATTTGCGGAAAAAATAAACAAAACTCTACTTTTTCTAATATATATATATATATATATATATATATATATATATATATATATATATATATATATATATATATATATATATATATATGAATCAGCAAAGGAAACTAGTCGCCGAAAAATAGCACTTACCAATCTTCAAATTATAAACACAAATCCCCAACCGGATCTTGACCAGGAAAATCTAGCGTCCTTTCTAAAAATTCAACAAGTCCGCAAAAAATATGGAAATTAGGTTTTAAGCTTTTTAGTATTTATGTTTTATTTTCTATGTTTTTTTTAGTAATTTAAGTTTAAATTTCTATGTTTTTTTATTAATTTAGGATTTTAATTTTCTATGTTTTATTTTCTATGAAACCCCACGAGATGTCATAACATTTTTGTTTTAACATGTCATATTCTACTATAATAACTATTTTTACCCAAAACTAGTTTTTTAGTTCAAAACAACAACTCTTTTTAGCCCAAAATCAATCGGGTAATCTAGAAATTCGGGAGCAAGGGGGGCATGGGATGGCAGTAGATTTCGGGTGCGGGGTGGGGGAACAAAGGAGTTTTGAGGCCAAGGGTTGCAACCCTCGTCCCATTTGGCCTCGTTGACTTCCCCAATAGGTGGATCCTAAGACCCACCTAGTTTTTTAATTTATATTTAATTTATTTATAAAAAATAGGACATGCTTTTATATATATATATATATATATATATATATATATATATATATATATATATATATATATATATATATATGACCTACCTTATATACTTGGACAAAAAAGAATGAAAAAAGAGGTATAAACTATAAACAATAGAAGGCATATCATTAATTTTGTTGACGGGAAGGAGTCTCACATCTCAAAAAGATAATTACCGGGTTGAACCAGATTATTGAGACGGTTAACACTTTAATACCGAAAGTTTGTTGAGATCTTGTTTTAATCGGCTTACTCCATGGTTTAATTTGGTTTTACTCAAAAACAAAAACAAGGAATGACCGATTTAGGATTGGTTCTCTCAATGCCAATTTGTTACATGTCGAACCGGATATTTTTATTATTCAATCGGCACGGTTGAACCTGTTTTTCTCTTGAACCGATCGGGTTGAACATGGTTAGGAATGCACATGGTTTTCTATTTTAAAATTTCCAATTCTTCTTTTATTGTTCTTGAGTTGGCGATTAGAAAGGAACGGTTAAGACAAGATGGGGTTATTTACGTATAAATGAAATTTATAAAAGAGCATGAAGGTTTAGGCTATACGTCATACCTTCGTAAAGAGGCCCATAAGATGAAGTGGCATGGTCGACTAGTGGTGTAGGTGGAGTTACAATCGGTGACAAGGAAGAAAGAAAGAGGAACGAGCTTGTGACCAATTCTTTGTCTCTTAAACAAACTATTTCTTGTTCACCAAACATCCAAAATGAATCAAAATCCAACATCTTTCCAATACCACATTTCAAATCACCAACCAAAGGGTTCATGAACATGTTACTACCTACAACCTCACATATTCCACAACCATCCATTTTCCAACAACAATTCCAACAAAACTACTTCCAACAACCAGACACAAAATCAATTCCAAAAATTTCAACAACCTCAAACCTAAACTTTCCAACCCTAATCTCCCTACGATGATGAAATTGAAATGGTGTCGGATACTCAACCACATCATTATAACACCCCGTTTTTACTTTTCGAGATAAAAATATATAAACCATTGTTTATAAAAATGAAAGTGAAAATATATTACCTTTTAGCAAAAGTAATCTAAAAGAAATTTGTAGTAGACGTCAATACAAACGCGTTGATATAAAAAACGTCAAAAACAGAGCTCATGTGAAGAAGTTATGATTTTCCGAATTTTGCGAGAAAATAATTGAACCTAACGAGTTAAAAGGGCAGTTGGCTGCAATAAATGCAACAGTCAACCACCCTAACCACCAACATTTATGGAAAGTAATTGGCAGCAGGGACCACGACACGGCCCTCAGATTTTCACCCCATAAATAGAGGGTTTGGCCTCCCTCATTCCTTGCACAAACTTCCACTCAAATCTCTCTCAATCCCTATCGATATCTCGTTCCCTCATGATTCGATTTCTCATTTTGTAGTATCGTTAGCAAAGCGTTGGTAGTTTTGGAAGGATCGTGAAGAGATGAATTAAGCATTGAAGTTAGGCTCGTCGCATTCCGAATTATTCGTCAATCGGGTAAGTTACACTTTCACTTAAGTATAACTTAATCTAGAGTATAACCATTGTCATTACTATGAACCCATGTATTAGATTAATCGTAAATCTCAGTTATTATATTGATTGGTCTACTTACGTGAGCGGTGTCTAGGATAGACCCATTGGTTTGGTTGTTGGATTTCAAAAAGGTTGTATGTCGAAATGATCTTGCCTCCTGACTATCTTGACTAGTCAATCCTTATTTGATAGTCATTTCAGTGTTAATGGGATTACTAAAGGATCTAGTTATTAGTTACAATATTTTCATAGTTTTTGATCAATTATAGAATTATAGGTTTGTTAGGTGTGTCAAACCAACAAAAAAAGGGTACAAAATGACTCCAAATACACTGATATTTTGCAATAAAGAGTAGTACAAAGTAAGCAGGGTCGATCCACATAGACACGGGACAAATATTTATATTTGTTTGTGTAAGGTATTAAAGTTACAGAAAAAAGGGGATTTGTATGTAATAATTAGAGCAGATGACTAAATGAACAAGAGATTAACTAAATGATTAAAGTAAATTCAGAATTTGTAAGACCTCCAACTCCATGTATGACAACATAGCAATGTGATTCAAAAATGACAAGATATTTCCTCAATCCTATCTAAGTTGGTACTTGAAGTGTTAATAAGCTCTAACATTTCCATCCACCAATTTGTCAAATTCAAAACAATCTCTTTGAAAATAACCTAACCTTTTAATTTGAATCTAAACAAACTCTT